ACTTAAAAAATACTTGAAAAATAAAGTATTGATAGTTTTGGGTTTTTACTGTAACATACTTTGTTTTACTAATATTACCTACTCTAAATTACAGTTGAACTTCGATAACTGGAACCTTCAGCAACTTGAATTTTTCGACAAATGGAATTTGACAAGATTCTTTTAGTCGCTAAGTCTCATTTTTTAGTGAAAAATTTTATTTTATTATTTCTGACAAGTTAAATATTGTACAGTTCTCTTTTTAATTTACTCAAAATGTCAAAAAACTATTATTAACTCTGAATGTACTTGCAATARAAAAAATGTGTACAAATTTTCCCTAAAAATTGCGAAGTACGGCGTTTAAATTTGCCTAATAATTGACCTGACCTGACCTGACTACTTGCTAAATAAATGATACTTTTGATAATTTTAACATGACAAGATTTTTTGGTCGAAAAAATTCATTTTTTTCTGTGAAAAACTTCATTATTTCAGACAAGTTTAAGTACTGTAGTTTTTTTTAATTTACATAAATTATCAAAAAACTACGTCTATTATGAATTCATTTGCTTTTAAATAAACAATCCATTTTCGCAATAAAAATTGCGAAGTACGGTGTTCAAATTTGCCTAATAATTGACCTGACCTGATCTGACTACTTGCTAAATAAATGATAATTTTGATAATTTTACCATAACAAGATTTTTTGGTCGAAAAAATTCATTTTTTCTGTGAAAAACTTCATTATTTCAGACAAGTTTAAGTACTGTAGTTTTTTTAACTTTACATAAATTATCAAAAAACTACGTCTATTAAGAATTTATTTACTTTTAAATAAACAATCCATTTTGTCAATTGTAATTTCTGTTTTTTTATTTAGTTTTTAACTCAATTTCTGAAACTTTTTTTCACTATTATTGCTCTAAAAAATACTTAAACTGCGATAACTTAAACGTTCAGTAACTCGAATTCTTTGATTATTTGAACGTGACACGCTCTTTTGGTTAATAAGCCTTATCTTTTTACATTTTTTAGTCAAAAATTGTATTATTTCAGACAAGTTTAAGATTGTTAATCAGTCAAATTGTCAAAAAGTTCTGATTACTCTGAGCGTAGGACTAAATAATCTATGTTATCTTCTTTATTTTGTGTCTATTTTATTTAGTTTAATAATCGATTTCTGACATTTTTTTCTTTGTGACAGATCACAGTTCGAGTTATCAAAGTTCGACTATACTTAAAAAATTATCAAAAAATATAGATGCTTTTTCTGACTATAAAACCAAGCAGAAGGTGCGTCAATGAATTTTGTTTAAGAAATTGGGAAACCGCTCTGTTTGAAGTCTAGACTTGCATCGAGTTGCTGCAGCTCCGGAATTAATCAAGAGTTTGGCAAACATCAAATACTAAACCGCACTTGAACAAACTATTTAATATCAGAAATATTAGTACGAGTCAAATATATGTTATTAGTCCGAATGCTGTGGTAAAGTATATGGAAATAGTTTTACAAACTTATCACTCGATTGTCAATATCACCCAACATCTTCTCTTTCATTCGATTTCCGCAAAAGCTGCGACTGTTAACAAACACCGGATATTTGTTATGTAGTTGGCTGGTTTTATGTAAATGTAATTCACGTTCGAAGCGATTCTAATTTGGATAACACGCCATGTTAAAGACTTTCTAAAGTGGTATCACGCGGATTTACAAATTCACTCATTACAACTTGCAAATTGTTTAAATCACATTTCTGACTTAATGGCTAGCAATTTATAATCGCTAAAGAACCCCCTTGCAGTGGCACTACCAGTTAAAGCTCACGTAAATCCAGTTCCAATGCTGAAATTATTCAGGTAGTTCAAACACCACGATTATTACAGCCTTTTAATCACAATAACTGTTGGTTTAGTGCAGTTTGCAAACAACGAAATGAAGCAAACAGGATTATTATTACAGAATCGGGGTTATTGAGTGTTTACTCAAAGCTCTCAACTTTTATACTTGTCTGAATACTTTTGATTTGTTGAAGCTTTTATTGTGTTTTAGGTGACATCCACGGAGAGTTCGCTTCAACACTACCGGCGATGCTGCAATCGGACGCTTCCGACGCACCAAATGTCCCCAGAACGGATCCTTGTTATCGGTTTATATGGGGCGACAGGGACAAACACGAGTTTTATAGTCCGGGGTTTGAGGATAAACCGAATTACACCAACAACACCAACTGCGTTCGCGTCTTGGAAGGTAAAAATGTGCGCTTTTTTCAGGATTTTAATGTTTGTTTGTAATTTGACTCGCTTTTCTTCTTTTGAAAGAGTTGCATTTATTTTTCGCCGGGATTTTGATCCTATTCAAGAGAGCTTTCAAAAGAAGCTCACCGAAGGGATTACATTATCGTTTATTCGATCCGAATACACTTATTTCCTACAACAACAGCTCGAGATGTCCACCAAATCTCCTGAAACGCAACACCACGAACTGCTGACTGTCGACTTTTGTCCCTGTTCTTTAAAAATTCAATATCCTCCAACAAAATGCTTCTTTTTATCGGCGATCACGTTTGGAATATTATTTAACTATAGTGGAAAAAATCCGAACGTGAGGACATTACCGAAATGGAACGTGACTGTGTGTCATGCTTGATTAATTAATTATTAGGAAAAACAAAAGGACTGAAATCGAACGAGCAGACGTGAAATGAGATTTCAAGGGTTGATATTTAGATTAACATTCATGTTAAATCGGAAAGTTCAAATGCAATCAGTTTTATCTAAATGACTGTTTAATGTAGTCAAAGGGTACACTAAATTGTGCTCGTTATTAAACCAAAACTTTCATTTGTATCGCACTGCAAGATTAATTTCATTTTAGCAAACGAGATTTATGCAATTGGTTGATTCTTTGAATAAATACAACTCTTTTTGATATATTTTTTCGATGTTTCTATAAGTAAATACTTGTGTTTAACAAACTATTTTAATTAATAATTAATTAGCATAAAACTATTATTACGTTTACTTGTAATTAACTAAATTACATAATATATGCTGATAGTAAATAATTAAATATTCTACTAATTAGCGTCATTACAATGTACGTAGTTTATTTTAAAGAAATTATTAGTTTTCAGCAAGTATTTAATTGGTTACACTTAAATTTACTGTAGTTTTTTTTTAATTAATGGTTTATCACGCCAGCTATCGTGTTAAGACGTCCTATGCCAAGCGTAGTATTTTTTTATTTATTTTTTCTATAGAGAACAATGATTGATTAGTGATTACTGATTACTTTGACTAAAGTGAATACTTATTAAAAATACCCCAAGATCCAGGTTTTTCTTATCACAAATTATAAATCTTTCATACTAGATAATAGTTATTTATTCGACGAGTTTGAGTGTAAATCGGACTCTTTATTTGACCGAGTGGATTTTTAAACCACGAGTGTAACGAGTGGTTTACCATMCACGAGGTGGAATAAAGCGTCCGATTTACACTCAAACGAGTGGAATACAACATTTTATTCTTCGAATTAGAGTCAACAAGGCTTAAACTTGCTTTAAATCTGTTAAAAATAATTTGACGTTCTGTAATGAGAAATGCCAAACAGTTGTCAAAACTTCCTTACACGGGAGAAAAACCGTAAATTTTGACAGTGTCGAAGAATAAAATACTAAATCGTGAGTATAGCGGAAGTAAAATCTTTTTTTTTTTAAAAGTATGAAAATATTTGGTCCAGAAACAATGGGCTGGATGCAAGTGTGTTAAGTAACAAATTAAAAAAAAAATTTCTAATCATGTTAAAGAATTTGTTCTTTTGTCAACCATTTTTAATTGAGAAAGTTATTCAATTTTTAACGATGAAGAAAATTAAATAATGATAATAAAAA